CCCTCCCTCTGGATGGGTCTTTGCCGCACATTTGCCGATACCCGAAAAGGGTATATTTGGCGCGGACAAACAACGCGCGCGGAAATGCGATGTTCAGTTTCTTATGCAAGGCACTGTAAGTACTTTGAGATGGATTGCAGCTCGTTTGGAAGGCCAGCGAAGAGTCGATCGCGAGCTCAAGCTGAAGAGAGTCGGCTCTATAGTGGCTGTGCTTCTCGCACGTGTCTCTCTGCGCTATGATAGGCTCGCGTGTCCATCGGACGGTGAGTTTGACTGGCAGTGGCTATGCCAGTGGGAACGACAACCTCTCATTCGAATTTCGGTCTGTTCCAGTCCCAATATCTGTCGAATGCCTGGCTCTCCTGAGACATGTAGAGTGCCTTCTGACGAACAAGACCGACAGAAATCTGCGTTCTGACTTGAGTACATTGCGCTTTCGCTCTGGAATGAGATGTTGTTGTTGATTCAAGTCGCCGTGGAATGCGCCATTAGCGGCGTAGAGCAGTCGAGTTGTGTTCCAAAACCTGCGGATGAGAGTACTATGTAGTACGTACTGCCCAAGGTCCGAGCCAGAATAGCATGGCCCCAGAGTCATGACGAACGTACTGAGTGACGAGTCTGTATCAAAGTCAGTTCATCCATGCAATATCACTACCACAAGTTAACATCCCGTACGTATGGAAGGGACATCTTAAGCGAGTCTATCGCATGCGCAGGTGTGACGGGCCGGCCTTTGAAAGACGTCAAGTTCGACCAGAAGGTGCGCGCCGCAACTGCAGAGAGATCACACCCGTATATCGCTGGTTAACTAAATAAATTAGGATCCAAGTGTGCTACTTGATACAATGATACACTACGATTACAACCAAAAGCATACGCCATAAGACTAAGAGTTAAATAAGAATGCGATAACAACGTCCGATCTATCGTGTCTAACCGGAACAACAAGGTTCACAGACTTTCGAGGTATTGACAGCCATCAGCAATGCGGCAAGAAACTTCAGCAATCTACAGGCAGGGAGCACGTCAGCTCACGGTTCCAAACGAAGTGAAGAGTAGCGGAGACTCACGTTAGAAGCATGGAACGGCTCAAAGTGGTTCCCAGGGATATCGATGCTCTTCACGGTCGCGCCGACCAGACCCTCCCATCCCGCGACCGCCTGCTGGGCATTGGAGCGATCGGCCAGCCACGTAGGCACCGGCTCCTTCACGCCGGAGGGGTTGAAGCCTTCGCGCGAGCGGAGCAGGACAAGGGGAGGGAAAGGACCACCCGCGGAGACAGGGTCGTACTTGCCAAGGAGCGCAGAGTTCTTCTCGAACTGCGCCTTGACTAGTCGTCCGATGTCGGAGTTCGCGCCGCGCGCATCCAGGTTGACGACGGCCTCGATGAGGGACTGCGACAGCGGGACATGGTTGACAGGGCTGGGCGAGTCAATCAGGAGGACACCCTTCACGGGCACGCCCTTGCGCAGCAGCTGCCGAGCGATCTCGAATGCGGCAACACCACCGAATGACCATCCTGATGAAAGGCGATATTCAGCCAAGGAATAAGACGTGAAGTTCTGCAGTACTCACCTCCAAGCAGGATGGGGCCAGAGGCCGTCTTCGTGATGAGGTCAGCGTACTCGGAAGCCATGGCGACGACGCTGTCGTATGCCTGACCGGTGATGAAGTTCGGGTTGTGAATACCCCAGATGTTTCTGTCGAGAGGAGACAGCCGCTCGTAGTAGTTCACGAGACCGCTACCATCATGAACGAGGAACAGAGGGAGGCTGAGATTGGATTTGGAAACTTGCAAAGGGAGCGGAAGGGTATGCAGACGCAGAGCGTTAACGACAGAATTGAGATTAGATTGAACCGTCTCGACGACCTTCGACGCGGCAGTCATCTCCACAGCCTTCACCTTGGCGCGTAGGTGGCTCTGGAGGTAAGACTCGACGGCCTTGGGGGTCGAGTTAGTCTGGAAGAAATTGGAAGGTAAGTCGAGGCCGAATTCAGTGCGGAGTGCTTGAAGTGCCTCGATGGAGGTCAGTGAGTCCAAGCCGAGCGCATCGAAGTCAGCATCGTCAGTGATCTCCTTCGGCGGAATGCCGAGGACCGACGCGAGCAGGCCCTTGACGTCGGGCTCCTCATCTCCTACGAGCGCCGGCTCGCTCACCTTCTCGTCCTCGACGAGAGTACGAGGAGAGGAAGCGCCGCTCTTGGCCTCGGGAACACGGGAAGCCACGGCCTGAGCCAACTCGCCCACAGTGTGGCAAGCAGAAAGAGCCTGAGCGTTAAGGTCAGCACCGGAGTACGAGGCCTGCAGCTTGCCGAATATCTCGATAGACATCAGCGAATCTACACCCAGCGAGTCGAGACACGTCTCGAGCTTAACGTTGGCCGGGTCGATACCGCAAGTCTCCGCGATGATGCCAACGACGGCGGCCTGCACGTCGTGTACGGTGGAGGAGCTGGTCGAAGAGCTTGAGGGAGTCCGGCTGACGACCTTGTGAGACGAAGGCTTAGACGGAGCGAAGGTGACCCTGCTAGGCGTGACTTCTGCGGGACGTCCGGAAGCCATCTGAAGACCCTTCTTGAGACTGGTCAGGCGGACACGGCGGAAGTGCATGCCCTTGAGATGCCCGACGATCCTCTTCGCGCCAGTGAGTTCCACCGCGTAAGCGTCGGCGAGCATAACTCCTTCATCCGCGAGCCAGGCGTTGCGGCAGAACACACCGTAAGTCGCATCGTTGTCCACGAGGTCGGGGATCACCTTGACGCTGTCGACTTGGCTGCAGATGTAAGCGTCGTTAATGCCACCTTGCATGTTAGCGACGAAGCCGGCGACGTGCAGGAGGGTGTCCATGAAAACAGGGTGAACGATGAATCTGCCGCGGAAGTGATCTGCAGGGAGCTTGACGACCGCGTATCCCTCCATACCAGAGGGGTCGACAGTCAGAGATTGCATAGTGTGATACTCCCTGGAGTAGTCGACCACGCGAGGGAAGATTACCTCGTACGCAGTCCGAGTCGAAAACGTCTCATAGCCCGGACCGACAGGAGTTGCGACGGTCGCCATCTGACGGTGTATGACAGGCGCGACACGACCAAACTTCGTCGTCGTCTTCGTGTTCGTCTCCAGGCGGAAGGTACCGTGGACGTGCACCGACTCCTCAGCACCATCGACGGACGAGCTCACGGTAAAGTTGCCAGACTCGGCTCCGTCGTCCAGGGTGATCTTGGTCTTTACCAGTCGCGCAACACCCTCAGCGTAAACGAGAGGGTGCGCAAACTGAACGTCCTTGACAACGAGATGATGGCCGGTGGAGCCGAGGCCCAGGTGCTCGCGGGCAAGTTGTACACCAGCCAACACCTGCTCGATATAGACAGATGCAGGGCAGAGGGGCATGCCACCTACGCTGTGTCCTCTAATCGAACCTGCGAGCATCTCAATCGGAGTTTCGAAGATAGCAACATTCCCATTCGCTGCCGAAGGCTCCTGAGCCCATGCATGGAGCATAGAGGACTCCGACACCAGACGGGCGGAAGAAGTGAGAGTCTTCCTGTCGGATGCGACCAATCCGGGCGCCTCCTCCTTGTAGTCGATCCAGAAGCGGCTCGGTGAGAAGGGGTAAGACGGGGCGTCAACGCATTTGACGGCAGGGACGTGAGCGAAGACCTCGCGCCAAGCCAATGACCGATCAGTGGTGTACAGCTGGCTCAAGGACGTCATGAGTGTCAACCATACATCCTGGTTCTTGCGAATGGAAGGCAGGAGCAGGCCATCCTTCGGGACAGAGGGGTTGGACTTGAGCATGGGCAACGTCGTCGGGTGAGGACCAATCTCTACCCAGAGACCGACATTGGCGAACTCGGATGTAGCGCAGAAGGCGTTGATACCGCGCTCGAACTGGACGGGCTCTGCACAGTGTCTGGCGAAGTATTCCGAAGTAAAGACCGAAGCGTCCCCTGGACGGACGACCTCGCCAAAAACGTTTGAGATGACCGCCAACGTCGGAGGACGCAAAGTGACCCGCTTGGCTACGCTGATCAGGTCATCGAGCAGAGGCTCCATCGCAGTGCTATGGTATCCGAAGGGCACGGAGAGGAGCACATTCTTGCACTTGACTTCCGAGTCCAGGTGAGCTTTCAGAGCCTTCAGCTGCTCGAGAGGTCCTGCCACCACGCAATCGCCCGCGCTGTTGTAGCAAGCAATTGAGCATCCGGATAACGCCGCGTTGGATTGTAGGATGTCCTTCACAGCAGCCGGTCCCTGGTTAATGGCGATCATGCCGGTAGACTCCGTCGCGCACTTGGTCACCATCAAGCGGACCCGGTTCGCCACAATAGTCAATGCACCCTTGAGCGTCAGGACACCGGCGATTACAAGAGCAGCGTATTCACCGAGACTGCAGAGTACATGTAAGCCATCAGAACAATGCATACAGCGGAAAAATACCAACCTGTGCCCAACGACCGCATCCGGCTTGACTCCCCAAGACATCCAAAGCTTCGCGAGTGCATATTCCAGAGCAAATATAGCCCCTTGGTACGCCTCGAACTCCTCGAGCTTGGAGAGCCCGCTCTCCCCAGATTCTGTCGCGATGATCTGCGTGACCCCAGGGAATCCCATGGTGCGCAGGACCTCGTGACACTCGTCGATATGGTGCTTGAATAGGGGGTTGGTGCGGTAGAGTTCGCCTCCCATGCCCAGGTATTGTCCACCCTGACCGGAGAACACGAAAACCGTCTTCGACGGCTTTGACTCCCCAGGTACTGCGACCAGCTTGGTCGATTCGAGCTTCTGGATCAGGTCCTTCTTGTCAGTAGCCACGACAGCCGTGCGATGCGCATACATGATGCGCCGAGCGGTAGCGGTGTAGGCGATATCGGCGAAGCGGACGTCGTCGGAAGCAGGGTCCTGGAGCCAGTCAACGTACTTCTTCTTGAGCTCGTTCAAGGCAGTGTCAGTCTTGGCGGACAAACCGAACAAGTACGCCAGACCAGCCGGCTCGTACTTGCTCTCGTCAGCAGCCGGGAACTCCTCGAGCAGCATCGTTCCATTAGAACTGTCAAGGCGCATCAGTGTCAGATTTCCTACACTATAAACGAGCATAGACTTACCCGGCAGCGCCGAAGTTGTTGAGCATAGCAATCCGGGGCAGACCAGGCTGCGAAGGCTCCCATGGCACCATCTCCCTATCGATGATGGTGTTGTCGGCCTCGAGAGGGGCGATCCGCGGGTTCAGGTTCTTCAGCGAGACCTGGCGGGGGATCGCGCGGTGGCGCAGCATCAGTAACAGCTTCGCGAGACCCGCAGAGCCCGACGCGGCCTCCAAATGGCCAATGTTCGCCTTGATCGATGTGATATGCAGCGGATTCTCCTTCGCCCTGCGTATAGCAAAGATACTCCGAATGCTCTCCAACTCGTTGGGGTCTCCGGCCTGTGTACCCGTGCCATGGGCCTCGACAACGTTGATGCGGGTAGGGTCAATGCCGGTCGCCTCGAGGACGCGCTTGAAGAGCGTCGCCTGAGTGGGTGCGTGCGGGTGCGTGATGGAGTGCGCGTTCCCACTCTGGTTGACGTCGATGCCGCGGATGACGCCCATGATATTGTCGCCCTCGGCGATCGCGTCCGAGAGGCGCTTGAGGACGAAGAGCCCGCAGCCCTCGCTGCGGGAGTATCCATCGGCGGAGGCGTCAAAGGCCTTGCACTGACCAGTGGGGCTTAGGAAGTGTCCCCTGTCAAGCCCGAGGAACATCTATTCGAAGGTGAGCGCACTGCAAGACACATTTCAAATCGTAGTACTTACGTCAGGGCTACTGATCACGTTGACACCGCCAGCCAGAGCTGCGTTGCAGTCCCGGTTCATCAGAGCGCGGCACGCTTGGTAGATCGCGACCATGGAAGACGAGCATGCCGTATCGATGACGAGGGACGGGCCGCTCCACTGGAACGCATAGGAAATACGCCCGCTCAGGAAAGCGCGCAGAGTACCTAACATACATTTTTAGCCCTCGATTCGATGCCATCATTTAACCTACTCACCAGTGCTGTAATAGACATCGATGTCATTGCGCAGATTCTGCACATAGTCGTTCGTCGCGACGCCAATATAGCACCCGAACGAGTCCTGCGCGAACGTCTCGGTCGCGTTGGGCACATACCCGGCATTCTCGAGCGCCTCGTACGCCACATGGAGGAGCACGCGCTGCTGCGGATCCATGGAGCGCGCCTCGCGCGGGCTGATCTTGAAGAACTTGTTGTCGAACTGGTCCGCGTTGGACAGGAAGTTGCCCGTGTGGGCCTTCATCTGGCGGTTCGTCTTCGGATCTTTCGGGTCATTGTAGTCGCGCACGTCGAACCTGTCCGACGGGACCTATACGAAGCACAAAGCCTATTAGCACCATATTCCCGTGTAGGGAGGATCGTCAGGCACAGTACGTACCTCAGAAATAGTGTTGATGCCCTTCTCGAGCACCTCCCAGAGCTGGTTGGTGTTGGGCGCGCCGGGCATATTGACTGCCATGCCGACAACCGCGATGGGCTCGTACTTGGCCGTGTCGATCTTGGAGGCCTCGCGGGCGACGCGGGTTGAGATATCGATGGAGACGACCTTGTCCTTGGGGAAGGCGCGCTCCATACTGCGCGCCATACCGGCGCCTGGGCCCAGGTTGAGCAGGGCGATGCGGCCTTCAGCCGGGAGTGCCTTGATGACTTCGTCGACGACAATGTCCCAATTGACGGGCTGCGCGACGATCATATCGACCGCGGCCTCGACTAGAGTACCGTATCCCGCCGCAACGTCGCAGCTCTCGTCGATGAGCTGACCAGTGTACGTGGAACGGATAGGAAAGACAATCTCGGCGAAGGTGGGGAAGTGAATACCACGGCGGATAACATCGTGAAGGATCTCGGAGCGGACGCCCTCCTTGTGGCTGGGCGCGTGGTAGAGGGTCGTGATGGAGGTCATGTGAACAGACGACCCCGAGGGAAGCTCAGCAGAAAACTTGGCCAAAACGTCAGGTCTGCCGGAGATCGTGACGCTTGAGTCGTCCATTACAGCAGTTATGTACAAAGGAGATAAACCAGTGTTCTGAGGCGGATTTGTTAGAGAGGGTTATCGTGAAATACAGGGAAATAAACCGACCTTCCTCTGGAACTCTTCAATAGCATCCTGGGCGACCTTCTTGTTCATGCCCATGAAAACAAGGCTCCAGGGCAGGGTGCACTCTTTGCCGGGAGCATCTTCGGCCTCCAAAGCCGCAACACGGTAGAGCTGGCAGCGAACGCCAATCCAAAAGGCGAGACGATAAGCTTCTACGGCGTGGGCGATATACGAAACAGTGGTGTTGGAAGTGCCGACAACGCAGGCAGGGAGGATGCCCGACGAAAAGCCGAGGACGCCCAGGCCCTGCGCGGCGTTGCTCTTGAGGTAGTCGGCAAACGGCGACGTCTTCTTCTCGGTGGAGAGCGACTCTATGTGCGCAAGATAGCGCAGGGACTGGATGAGGAAGAGGGTGGTGGTGGCGAAGACGGTGTTGCGCTGGTACCTCGCGGGGAGGGCAGCGAGGAGCGACTGGACGGTGTCAAAGTCAGCAGGGTCGATGTCGACCTGCTCCATCTCGGTCGGTGATAGGCTGGCGAACTCGGTGAGGAACGCCTGGTAGCATGCAGTAAGGAGAAGGGTTCCAGAAGCGGATTCAGCATCTCGAAGCGCCTGCTCGCGGGTCTGTGGCGAGCTCGCAGCCGCGGTGCCCTGCCCAGCGAAAACAGGGACGTCGGCGAATCGAGGAGTGTGCACAACGACGGAGGACATGGATCTATGGCAGGTCTAAGGGGGAAAGCGAGGCGTCTATGGTTGAATCCGCTCACTGGGATTTACTGGCGAACTTGGTGCAGGCCCCTGGTATTTGAATACTAAAGAGTACGCCAGCTACTCTCCGAAGTCCGAGAGGCCCACAGTCGGACTGTGCAGCGCAGACCGAAACGGCGCAGTGGGTGTGCCTAAAGAAGGCAGGGACGCAAATGTTTGATGATCCGGCAGAGTGGAGAGAGCCATGGACACAGTGAGGAGACGGGGCAGAACGCCCCCATTATGGGAATAATCCATTGAATTCGTCCACATCAGCGTGCGCACAGGCGTAAATACGCGTAGATTTCGAATACAGCCTATCCGAACGATTTGATAGTCGCTGTTGATGGGGCTACTAGCCTCCGAAACGCTGCACCTCGATGCCCTCTCTCGATGACATCGGCGACCCACCGACAGGTCCGCCGCGTCCGGCGCGACTCCCAACGCCAGCGCTCGCACGGCCATGTCAGGACTCGAACTGCCCGCCTGCTGACGGACATCCAGCATGGAGGGCTGCACGGACGTCGTGCTGAGCGGCAAACGCGGAAGCAACATCGAAGCCATCGAAGCTGAAGACGCTCCAGCAACGCTCCAGCCAATCCGCTTCCAGCGCGTTAACCCAAGTGGCTGCACCGCCACTGCACCGCATTTGCTCAGATCCCCTCCCTTGCCTTTTGGGGCAATCTCGAGACGGCGCTTGAGAACGCCTCGAAGGCCCCGCAAATAGTCCGAGCAGATTATCTCAGGTCTCGTTATCATAGCCCCTGCCGGTGTTACCATACAAGGCAGTGATCTACAAGCTGCGGAGTCCTTCCATCTGCGCGTATCTCGCAGATTATCGTACACTGGCGCCGACAATGCACTCTGCTTCAGACGGGGGCAGCTGCAGCTCGTCTCCCTGGCTGCAGAAATTGCGCAACCCACATGTAAATGACAACCCTGCCAGTCCCCCTGGGCATCTGTCAACCGAACGTTCAGTCAAACCTGCGCTGCTTGGCGGTCCCTACGAGCCCATACAATCAAGTTCGGCGTAATTGCGTTGACTCGCGCGATCCACTCTGGACTCGATTCTCACCGACGGCTCCATGCCCTGGACTTGGACGGCGCTCCGCTTGCTCGCATTTCATCTTTGCAACATCAAATGGTGAGTTGTCCGCATAATCTACCCGGACTTCTGTCCTTGACCCGACTAGCGCTTTAGTCTGCAATTTGTATGAGCCTTATTCATCCTGTCAAAGCACGGTCTCGAACGGTGTCTTGCATACACACTCGGTCTTCGCCTGTGGAGCCGATAAAATACAAAGGACGCTGATCCACCACCATCGCCGCTACTGCCAGAAAGGCATCAGAAACCGTCCAAGTACCCACCACCGTAATGATTCGACAGACCAGTCCAGATCCATACACTGATGAAGGATTTGTGGCAGGCAGATCTGATTTTTGTGCGTTATCATGCTGCCCACCCTATAGGCCAGACAGATAAACTTTGGCAGATCCTACGCAAGCACCACAAGGCTACCAACCTGACAATGGAATAGCGCGACTCGCTCAGGCGGCGACGCAAAATGACTAGTCCAGATGTTGGGTAGTCAGTCGAGACGGCTCCCACCCGGAACTTGAATACAACCGCTACACCCACCTCGAGTCAAGCATTTACATTCGTCCTATAACATCGGAGCGCACGCAAGACTCCTCCGTGCTCAAGTCAATGCCATCGGGACTGTGATAGGTACCAATTCAGTCGTTCGTTATGAGTCTGTGAACTCGTCTCAACTTGCAAGGCTCAACGTCGCGTCTTCGCTCCTCTCCTCGCCGGCAATCCAGGAGCATCGTGCAGCCACAGCATCCGCTTGCCGAGCGAACCCCACATCCTCAGACATCAATCACCAACAACACCGTCCCGAAATTTTCGCGCGCTCGCGCTTGTGGGGCGCGCCGATCATCTGTAAATCGTTGCCACAGCTTTCCTACGTTTGCCGGCAGAGGGCGCTTTGAGAATAGAACAGAGGCAGTAAGTTTGCTCTGTCAGCGGGAGAACAATGCACACGTTGTGCTCGTTAGGACGTATCGGAATAGCGGTGACACATCTAATACTGGCAATTGTAGAATCAAAATCAGAACGACAGCGAATTCGCGCCTTGTGTATTGTGCATGATGCATGATGCATTGTGCTTGCTTGACCACCCATCCAACAGTGCCACCCGATGCTCAGACTCTACCCTTCAGATACCGACGCGCACGGCACGTACCTGCACAGACCCACAAAGAGCACCTTATCTCCTGCCTACACTCTTCCCAATGAATTCAGACATAACTCTATCTTGAACTGGCCCGTCAGTCCGGATTTGAAGCGGGGAAGGTGAGCTGGAACGATCCGACAAGGTTGCTCGACCCTAGGAGACAGAAATTTCCTGACTGCGTGTATATGCACTCACCCGATAAGGCGGCTCAATATACAAAAACAACTCTATCTCCAAGTGCCCCTTTCGTCCAGCTCCGCGAGCTGCCAGCGCTGGGACGATCCGCCAAGGTTGCTCAACAGGAGGACAGGCGAGCGGGAGACAGTCTACTTCCCGAGTGAGTGTATATCGTATATGCACTAATCGCGATAAGATGCCCGCCAGCTCGAGTTGTATTGCGGATCGAACAGTGCGGCTCACAATCCATCCGTCCTTCCATCGACGTAAACCAGGGTGCAAGTCGCCCGCGATGCCCCGCCGTGCTGTATGCTTTATAAGGCCTCCAAGTTCCCCCAGAAAATCCTCGCGTTGAATTTTGACAGAAGCTCAGGGCCCCACTGCGAGAACAGCGGAGGAGGATCATGGGACCGATCCTGCTGAATAGCTGTGTCACAGAACTTCAGAAGAGCAGCGCGCACGGCGTGCGATGCGTATGGCAGCTGGGTGTACAACCTTGAGCATGTTGAAGATTCCGATCGCCCCCGACAAGCTTAAGCGTGGCGGCGACCTCGGGGAAGGGAACGGGGACTCGGATTACGTAGATGGACATGATCAATGTACCTAGGAGAATCGAGAAGTGAGAGTATACATTGCAGGGCGTCCGATGCTAGTGACCGAGGTTGCGCAACTTTAAGTAGCCGACTTACCATCCGCCATATCGCCGGGTTCGTCGGCGTCGACGTGCTGTCACTCCTCATTCGGAATTCGGAGTGCTCTGATTCCTGCCTTCGTTAAACAGGTGCAGCGGCAGCCCTGTGAAGATTGAGTATAGATTAGGCTGGTATGAATGGCAGCACATCGTTCAGGCATGCCGCCAAGAGCATTTCGACGGTGTTGACGGATCGAAGCAAGATGCAGAGCGTAGCGGCTCCGAGTCTTCTCTTGTAGCGTGAACAGTCACACATACATTATTGACCGTGGTTTTCGACGGCTTGAATGTGTGTGGAATACTTCTGGTGCCAGGAGGATGTACCCCAGAACTTCTTCGTTGCTTCGATGCAGAGCTCGGAGGAATGTGTGTTCAAGTCTGTGAGTCGTCCAGGGTTGCAGGTACATCATTGGATAACATCTCTGGCGCTTCCATAAATACTTAGGATTAGCTGACTAGAAGGTTAGAAGGAGATGAACTTGAAGGCTGTTGCCTCTACGTCATTACTGGAGGATTATTCCCTACGAGGGTACTTATATGGGAAGGCCGCTGCTTATCCGCGTGGAGCTTGACTAGAGAGGAAGACACCTGCCGGTATTCGAGCTGAGTGCTATATGTCTCCCTAGACTAGTACGTGAGTGCCGTCCTGAAGTCGTTCTGCGGAACATTATACTCAGGATGCCGCTCCTCGACCAATCACAGCACCGGTCGTGAACATCTTGCCGGAAGGATGATATTACATAATACAACATAGTGAATTCCCGTACTAGCTGCGGCACCCGTAGCCACTTCGGGGAGGTGTAAATAGTATTCAGAATTTTAATTTATCTTTATCTTGGAGGTCAAAGCCCTCCCGACTCTGCGCCCCTTGTCCTGACTCTCGGGTGGCGGCACTCACCCTCGGCCAGGACGTCGGGGCGAAGTGTGTTCTCCAAATGAGGCAAATGTTGATGCATTAGCCAATAGAATGCGATTATCTAAGATTACGTAGACATATTACTAAGCAAGCGACCGAACTGTCAAATATAAGGATTGCATTTTGGTCTCTCATTAGCCTCGTTAGCCAAGAAGTCTAAGCACAGAGAGCAGTACCCGCTCGGCACTCCCCCATGGTGGATAGCGGGGCGTGAACAATCACAAGGTGACGGGTCTCAAGTTACATCTTATATCCAGCAGTAGATTTGTTGTGGCATCTCACTTCTGTATAAATTTATTTTTCGCTGTTTATTCCAATCGACGTGTTAGCATAGCCACACGAACATTATTCGTTAGCGACTTCGATAGGAGCTGCGGTCTGCACTCGAACGTCTGAAAGATCGAACAGTTATTCATAATGGTCTGGGAACAGATGCACCGGTAGGAGTACTAGTAGTACCGTGCGGCGTTCAAATTGCACTCCGTCTGTGTTGAGACTCAGCTAAGAGGACTTAGACGTTCTCAACAGGATACGAGTAGTTCGTTTACGAAAGGCGAGATCACACAAGCAAAGACCAGGTAATCTCTTGATTCGCAGAGAAAGAACCACCACTGTACATGAAAGACGCACAAAGTCTTATATATACTCGAAGTAATAACACACTAACTAGAAATAGAAGTAAAGGACTCGAAAGAGAATCAAACAACCATATAAGTACATACACGTTAAGAAAGGAATATCAATGAGAAACGTATATCGTACATGGCGAGCTCCTACATTCGCCCTCCTAAGTATTCACGCGAATACTTACTTTTGCGCCGGCTGCTTCCCTTTACCCCCAGCGAGAGCAGCATCTAACTCGTGGTCCGCACCATCACCAAAATCTGGACCAGCACCGTCCACATCAGCATCATCTCCAAGTCCGTCCATCTCCGCGGACATGTCGACATCATTCGCAGAGATAGAAGTAAACCCGTCGGGTACCTGTTGGTCACTCGGATGCAACGCCCAAGTAGACGGTCCCGCGACTGCAGCAGTCCCATCCGAAAAGGATGCAGGCGGGTCATTCTCGAAGTAGGCGGGAGACCCGGCATAAGCCGTGAACTGGTCGGTTGTACCGAACGTAAGCTGAGGGGAGTTGGTCGTAAATGGAGTCGACTGATGCGGGATGCTCGGGGAAGGACTGGCGAGATTGGCATGCGGCTGATATTGGTACGGATGGGCTGCTCTAGAGAAACCGCGTCCCCTGCCACGTCCACGGCGGCGGTGCGGCGAACGCATGCGTTCACGCTCACGTCGAGCGCGCAATTCTTCGACGAACTCATTCGCGACGAGACTCGCGAAGGGATTCATAGTGCGCGGTGAAGCGGACGTTGAGGGAGAAAGTGAAGCTGAAGGCGACCCCATACCCGAAGTCGGGTGAGGCCCGCGACCGAAAAACGCCAGGACCAAAGTGTGGAGGTCCTCGCCCGTCACTGCCGCCCAGCGGCTGTCCCCCGTTTGCTGATAGCGGAACGTACGGTATCCCGGAGGCGGGGTGGGAACGTTGGTCCCAGCTGCGAGGTTGAGCAGTTGGAGATCGAACTCTTCGATTGCGGCGAGGAGCTCGGGGCTGGCGGGGAGCATTGCGACGCGGCTGAGGACGGCCATGGTCGAATCCACAGGCGGAGGGGTAAGATGGTGGAGGCGCCTGCCAATGCGAAGCTCGTCGAGGGCCTCGAGGCATGAGACTTCATCGACAGAAAGCTCGAGGTGTCTATATAGCTGTCCATACCCAATATTACCGAGAAAGACTTGAGGGTCATTAGTAGGGGGCTGACCCGTACCTGTAGGTAGATTTCCCACCCGGGAAATACCCATTGCTTCAAGATAAACATCGAGGGCCTCCAAGTGGCGAACTGCCGACAGGGGCTCCCAAGACGTGTCCCCAGATTTCCAGCGTACCTGGAATAGTGCATCGCTACCCTTGCCGCTGTGACTTAGAATTTGCTCGACCGCCCATTCCTTCGGCTCGTCTCCAAGTCCCGTGAGCTGAGCCAACTGTCGACCAGGAAAGCGGCGATCATCGTTGGGAACATGGATTTTGAGCTTCGACGCGTGGAAAGCGTTGTTGATACCGCGTTTCTTCAAGTCATCCGAGAGCTCAAGGCGAAAGGTAGCGCCAGGCTCCAGGACCTTCGAAATTCTGAATGGACCAATGTACTTGGGCGCTAGCTTTCGAGCTAAATTCCGAGGCAGACGTAAGTCCTTGGTCGACAAGTAGACCCAATCACCCTCGGCGAAGGGTGCAGCGCGACAATGCTTGTTTGCGTCACGCGTTTGCTTGACCCGCATACCTATTATGGCATCGTGAGCTGCCAAAATGGCATTCTTCATCGTCTGCGCGAATTTGCGTACGCCAGGATATTTTGTTTTCGTCGCATCCCAAAGCATTGTCTTAGGCAGAAAGCCATAATTGAGAAAAAAGGGTGAAAATCCTGTAGTGCTAGACCGGGCAGAGTTAAGTGCAAACTCAATTGCAGGCAATTTAATTACCCAGTCTTTCTGATCACTCTCAATACACTGTCTAAGACATTGGGTGACCGTACGATTAGCGCGTTCGGTCACTCCATCAGTCTGAGGGTGGTATGACGATGACATACGCAGCTCAGCACCAATAAGCTCATGAAGACGCTGCCAAAATATACTGGTAAATAACGAGTCACGGTCAGACACAATGGTCTCGGGAAGGCCGTGATGCTTGTAGATACTATCAAAAACAACTTCTGCGATATCTTTTGCTTTATATGTCTGCTTGGTAGGAATCAGATGCACCATCGACGTAAGGCGGTCAATCACAACACAAATCATATCGTAAGTCCCTGTACGATTACTGGACGCCGGCAAAGGCCCAACAAAGTCAAGCGCGATCGCTTGCCAGGGTCTGGAAGGGACTTCCAGAGGTCGAAGTAGACCCATTGGAGACTCGTTAGACGCTTTGCTTAGTGCGCAAGTGCGACACGATGAACAATAGCTTTTCGTGTCATTCACGATCTCCTTCCACCAGACGTTCTCGCGCAGGTACGCAAGCGTCTTGCGACCACCGAGATGTGCCAAAATTGAATGCGCATGGCTAATTAGGACTTCCCGAATGCGCTTACAATCAACTGTAATGTCGGGTATACAGAGTACACGGGGCTCATCGGCTTGGGTTAAGTACACAAGATCATTCTCAACTTCAAAAAGCTTAGCATGAGCCTTTGGGTGAGCCACTATGTCCCGAAAAAATGCATCCTCTGCATATCGGCCCCGAAGACAATCAGGTAACTGAATACCGGACCCGCCCTCCGATACAACGCGCGTGAGTGTCGGTTGCATTTCCAGCGGTGAAGACGGCGAAAGCAAAGTAGTAACCGTGTCTCCATCATCCACTGCTGCAGGTGTCACGGCGGAGTCCGTGGAACGCGGTGAGTCTGCATGGGGTTGAGAAGGCCCCTCTGGTACCAACACCACAGCATCCTCATTAACAGGGCCAGCATCCCCGGGCGCAGTGGGGTCTGACGGGGACACCTCCCGGTCTATGGGGTTAGGGATCCAGCGCCGAAACGCAGCTTTCACCGCGTCGCCAGTCAGTAAAGGTTGCGTGTGTGATACTCCGGCCGATGCTACGGAAATATCAACACGCGTCCGATCGCCACGATCGTCAGTCGCCTCGTCAGTCGAAAGATATTCAGACGGCGCGCGATGTGAGTCAGGCCCGTCCGCGCTGTAAATACGAGATAGGGCATCGGCGAAGATGTTCGTCTCGCCCTTAATATAAATAATAGTGAAGTCAAATTCATTCAGAACGTCCAACCAGCGCAGCTGGCGGGGCGATAACCGCTTTTGCGTCATGACATATTCCAGCGCCCGATGGTCAGTGAAGATACGAAATTTTGTACCCGTCAAATGAGCCCGGAAACGTTTCAATGACTCAACAATCGCGAGCAGTTCTTGCTCGTGTACCGGATAGTTTTGCTGAGCACTCGTGAATTTGCCAGACCAAAAGGCAATTACCTTTGCATTGTACATGTCATCCCCTTGGCTGATGTAGCCGCTAGCACCCGTCATGGACGCATCAGTGATAAGATTGATGAGCGGAGCTCCAGCTGAATAGTCGAGAGCATGTCTCGCATTGTCACGCCAACTCTGAACAATATCCTTGATCTCATCAAAGGCCATTTGCTGAGCTGGTCCCCACCGCCATAGCTTAGTCTTACCCGTCAAAGGCGACAAAGCTCCCATGGGAATGCGAATGCCGGGACAGTCAGGAGCAAGGAAATTTACGGCCCCCAGAAAACCAGCTAGTAGATCACGAGTAGTAGGCACCTTCCAATTCACTATTTTGTCGACCTTATCAGGGTCCATATAGAGACCAGTCTCAGTGATAACGTGTCCAAGTGCATTAATCTTCCGAGTAAAGAAATTCATCTTCGACGGCTCGAGATAGAGCTTTTCGCGTCGTAGAACATCAAAAAAGGATCGGATATGTCGAATGTGATCCTCAATAGAATCCGAAAAAATGAAAATATCATCGAGATATACATACATGAATACACCGATGAATGAGCGGAAGATATGATTCATGAGAGTTTGATAAGTAGCAGTCCCATTGCAATCTCCGATCTGTAGAACAAGCGACTCCATGGTACCATCCGGAGTCGAGAACAGAGTGCGATTGACATGTTCAGGAATGACCCGAATCTGTTCATAAGCGTCCTGACCATCCATAGTAGAGCGAAAGCGGTGTCTCAGTATTTCGGTCAAGATAGCCTCGATGTCTGGGAGCGGAGAAGACAACTTTCGGGTGTTAGCATTTCGAGATCGCAGATCAATCGGCGTGCGTATACGCGGAGAGCCGTCAGGGTTCGGTCGAGGCTTCGCAATAACGAGCATCGGGCAGGCATTGTTGCCTTGAGCTAATCGCCATATTCCGCGATCGAGATACTGCTGTTTTTTCAACCGGAACTGAGCCTTGAACTTCTCAGCGCATCTAGCAGGTTGCCAGGGGTATACTGCATGCTCATCAATTAAAGGTATGGTATGGTTTACATCGCGTAGTGGAGGTAACCCAGAACTCGAGATGACTGTCAAGTCAGCAGCCTCAGCTCGTAGCATATCCCGGAGCTTGTCTAACTCAATCTCTACCAGGGCGGCAGCAAGAGACGGGATCCGAGATATATTAGAACCCGCTATAGGCATAGGTTCAGAGCTTCCGATCATAATAGAAGGCGGGTTCAGGCCCATAAGCACTCGGTGCTGAAACAAGAAGGGAGTACCTAAGATAACATCGTAATCATCAATATTGATGATATCAAAACGTTTCTCGCAGTTAATGTGCTCAAACTGAAAGCGAGCGGTGGCAAAGTAGTTAATCTTAGAACGAGAACCCGTAACCGCCAGCTGTACGGGAAGGGCTCTAGCTAAGGGTGTCTTGGAGACGCGAATGAGATCGCCGAAGGTGGTTGACATGAAATCAGCCATGGATCCCGAATCGAGAAGCGTCCGAGCGCTACGTCCATTAACCTTCGTGAGTGCGACAATGGGATCAGGGAACACGCGATCAAGATCACACGGACGTGCTGCTGTTCGCTCCAACGTCAAACGAGAGTTCTCGTCCGGAACTGTAGATGCTCGACGCGTCTTGCGGGTAGCAACAGTTTCCCGGCGCCAGGACTGCTGAACATTCTCGTCCAACACAGTAAGCGCAGGGCGTCCTCGTCGCACCCGCGCGGAAGCCAGACGAACGGCCTGCCACAGGTCATCAAATTCGTCATCACAGTCAGGAACATCATTGACCAGTACGGCACCACAACTCGGGCCAAGCGACTCATCGTCGACATCCCTGTCAGGATCCAAGTCCTCACACGCCCGAAAATGTTAGGAAGCGATGTCCTAACTAGTCGTCTTGAGATAACTGGGCCACGTGCCTACAGTTATGTCGTTACTACCTCAGTAAGCGTACTGAAAGGTAGGTCTGGCCGGGCCAATGCCAACGGTCAAGTCAAGAGTCCAGGTAATCGCTGTATTCAACAGGAGGTTGAACTAAGGAATACATGGGTTTTCCTACAGTATATATAGTAACTGGTATAGGGGTTAATACCCAAAGAAGAGAACAATAAGAAAGGACGCGTAAGCCATCCTGTGAGAACGTAACTCAGAGAAATGAGAAATACAAGGGCGCCCATTGGTAGAAGGTGAGTCAGAGAAGATAACGTGTGAGAAGAAGATAGCGTCCATGGGAAGGTCTACTCGGAGAAAGGTACTGTCCAATAGCAATGCTCGGAATGGAAATGGAATGAGATAAGCATGGGAAAATCATAACATTACCCCCTTCCTATGGTCGAAGTTTACCCAAAACTTCCTAGTTATGACCGGTTACTGAACCGTCCAGGTCCACAAGAGT